TTTTTTTTTTTTTTCAAAATAGCAACATGAGATATGTATTTAGAAAGTAAAAGATGGTTTAATTTAAGTGTTTTTTCGGAGTAATCTACTTATATCATTGTATAAGTGTAATATGATTGTGATAGACGAATTTAAAGATCACAAAATTGCTTGACCTTGACGAGTCGAGTATAAAGCACAACCTCACGCGCTTCGCGCTATGAGGCGTGTAATATGTAAATATATCGAAAAAAACTAGTACTTTTACGTTAAAAAATAAATTTATAACTTTTTTGCATACACATGTACTTATTTTTTTTTCTATAATAATTTAGTACCTTAAAAAAATGTAAAATACTTTGTATATTTTTAACATAACTAATTGTACCGTTATTAAAAAATTTAATTCGCATTATATATTTATATAATAATCCATAAGTATATAAATAGGCACCCTTTACTAATGCCGGTATGGTTAATTCAAAACCCCCCGATAATAAGTAAAATGTTTATTAATCAACGATACTTATAAAACAACAGGGAGTATTTCTAAATGCATTTTTTCTAAAAGCATACTTAGATTTTTCTATCAAATCTACCTAATTATACAAAAAAAAAAAAATAAATTATGAACAACTCGTATTAAAGTTATCTAAGTTTATTGAAAGAGTTACAAGAACATTATTGATCTATTTATATACATAACTGCATAAAACTTTTTATGAGGTTTATATTAATAATGATGAATTTAATAATAATTTGATAAAATAATAATAAAGTTAGCCGACGTTTTTATTTTTTGATTTTGCTTAATTTATTAAATTAGAACTAACAACTATTTTTTTTAATTGCATTTATAGTTTTTCAAATTTTTTACAAATAAAATTAAAAAAAAATTTTTTCAATAAAAAAAAATATAAAAATTTTTAGATGCCGGTTAACTTTATTGTCATTTAGATAGATAGTATAAAACATATGTAATGTGGTATATACATTTGTCTTGCAATTTTAGGGGTCATCTGAGTGATCCGAACGGAAATGTAGCCAATGTAATAATTGTAAAGAAATTCAAAAAGTAACTTGCTCTCTAACAAAAGTTATATACATTTAATACTTCATACATAACACTTAATGTATGTCAAATAATAGTAAATTCTATATAATAAAATACACACA